TGTAGATGAATATTCATGGTTTCCTTTTAATTTTCCCTGTCCAGATATGCCTACAACAACAATTATACAATGTCTTTGTTCCCTATTTGACGTCTTTGGAGTACTGGCATACATACATTCAGACCGAGGAGTTTCTTTCATGTCCGAGCAGCTTCGGCAGTTCTTACAAGAAAGCAGATCGGCGGTGAGTCGGACAACCGCGTACAACTCCCAGAGTAACGGTCAATGCGAGAGATAAAGGCTTAATTTGGAAAACAATTCAATTGGCTGCTTCAACACACGAATGCCCAATAAATAATTGGGAAAATCCCCTTCCAGTAGCCCTGTATGCCATCAGATTGCTATAAAGTATGGCCACCGATGCCACCCCACATGAAAGATTTCTACCCTTCCAACGACGGAGTTCGGCTGGGACTTCGATTCCCACTTGGCTCTCTCAACCAGGTACCCGCCTGTCCCAGTTTATTGCGGCTGCTGCCAGGGTAGTTGTTACGTTGTAGGGTACTGCTTATACTGACCAATTCTTTATCTAATGTCTCTGGGTAGCCACTTATGACTTTTGCTCGGTGTTGTAAGCAGCGGGCGATTCCTTTCTTTACGCTGTATGGATAATGAGGTACTGTCCGGTGAATGTCGGTTTACGGTATACGGATGTCTTGATTCCCATGCTCTGCTCGAGATATTAGAACATCCAGGAATGGGAATGTGTTGTTACTCTCGACAGGCGGGTACAAGAGGAGGACAACAACACTCAGAAAACAGTCTGCCTGCCTTATGTGAAGGGGTTATCGGAGAAAATACAAAGGATCTGCGGTCCATATAACATCAGAACAACCTTCAAAAGCTGGACGACCTTTCGCAGATACATCTCCCGAGTAAGACCCCCCCCCACCAGAGAGGAGAACATGACTAAAAGCTGTGTGTACGCCATCCCGTGCAGCTGCGGAAAGAAATATAAAGGGGAGACAAGCCGCCCCCTTAAGGTATGGCTTCAAGAACACCAGAAAGCTGTAACACGAGGGGAAGTGGAAAAATCAGGCGTGGCTGACCACATATGGAGAGAGAAGGGAGATCACCGCCCTCTGTGGGATCATGTTGAGATCATAGACAAGGAACACCATTGGAAAATTCATAAACTTAAGGAATCAACACGTATGCTAGACCATCAAAATTTCAAAAATGAATACAATATGGGAACCAGTAATAAGGAGTGCCAGAGAAAGCAATAATAACACAACGAAAATTGCAATATGAGTTCTGGTATAAACATGCAATGATAACAGCAAAAATTGCAATGGTAAAAATGGTTACAGAAGATATTAAGTTTATAAGTCCCAAAAATTCATACAGTGGATAAAGGCGTTGGTTAGATCCGCGACCCAACGATTTGTGAGTTCAATACCCGGTTAAGGCAAGCTGAAATAACTAGTAACTGACATCCATTGGACATAACACGTTGAACTAGAACAGTCTACCCCAGCGAGCGAAATAATGGGTTCAGTTCGACATTCTAACCATCTAGAGAATGCCGGCAACAAAGATGAGGACAATAGTCCGAATAATATATATATATATATATATATATATATAATGACATTCTATAGGTTCACTTAATAATTTGTGTAGACTGACTATCTTCAGTATTTGTGCATAACACACACACACATATGTATAACAATATATATATATATCAGCCTGTCATCATATGGTTAAATACCAAAATATTCTTTTAAACAATGCATAGTGAATGTGTACAACACTTTTCATCTTTCTGTAGTCAATACGAAAACTTCAAACATCTTCAAAATACATTTTAGTTATTTTGACAGATGGTAATTCTACTTGTGTACAATGTACCTTTTCTAACGTTTCTTGATTGTGATTTGCATCACTCTAAAAGTATTTGCATTTATCTTGATATATTCAGTTTGATGTGGGGCTGCAATTTGCTGCCTAGAGTACTAGTCCTCCAAATAACTCCACCTCTCTAATTCTGTTTTAGGAGTCATGTTCTGTTGACCTTTCACATGAAAAGCCCTAAACTATCTCTCTAACCCAGCAATCAGGTTCATTCAATGTTGATCTACATTCAACACTAAAGGATTATTGTTGTGGAATCAGTTTTCATGTACTTCTTCGCTCAACTTACAAATTTATCTTCGAGATATTTATTTAAGGTTTGAAAACTGGGTGGATTTTATCACTTCAGTCAGTGTTCTTAATATTCTGCAGCATTTAAAAGCCTAGGCCGTTTTTCACCTGAAGCTGAACGACTTAGATTTGAACTAATACAGGTGTTTAGAATAGTAAATTAAAATTGATGAAATGTTTCGAGAAATATTTTGCTCAAAGCCAGTCTAAATCCATTAGTGTAAACCCATCAAAATTCAACCATAGATCTATCGGCTGAACATAGGAAAAAATGTCCTATACTACATCATTATCTTTCGATCCCCCCCCACCGCTGACGCAAGAAAAAACAAATTTTTGAGCGTGCTAGAAAGGATTAAAAAATTAATTAAATAATAATAAATACTTTGGTCTTTCCTCTAAATAATAGCATAAAGGTTTTGATAATTTGTTTTTATCAAGTTTGGGACATTTTTCATCATGGTAGCCTAATTTTTAGCGAATTAGTGGAGGTACCTATATTTAAAATAGTAAATTAAAATTGATATCTGTCTATATTTCTGAGATAAGGTATTGAAATTATTTATATTGTTTGGACTGTTGTCTTCATCTTTATTGCCATATTCACGACGTCTCGGCCGTTGTACATGACCCAGTGGATAAAAGCGTTGGTTGGGTCCAGAGTTATGAGTTCAATATTTGGCTACCGCAGTGGTGAACAAGTGAGTTGATTTAAAGGGAGATAACTGAGGCATCCGAAAAAGGCATAGCGCGTGGAACTAGAACACTCTACACCAGTGGACGAAATAAAGGCTTCAGTTCCTATTGTCTGAAGAAGGCTGGAGCGTACAACAGGCTAAACATCGTGAATATAGCAATAAAAATGAGCACAACAGTTCGAACAATGTAAATAATTAAAATTGATGACATAGGTCTCGTGAAATATAAGCAAAGTTTGAAATACAGCAAAGTATTTTGATTATTGTAAATATTGGATCTATTATTAAAAATAAAATCTTCAATTTTCATTTTTAAAATACATTTTAAACCTTAGGTATCGCTTTTATTGGACACCCTATATATATATATATATATATATATATATATATATATATATATATATAGATAGATAGATAGATAGTGATATATATATTTGCGTGTGTGTGAATTGAAAATATCATTAAATCTGACAGAATAATTAAATAAAGATATATATATTAAATTTATTATAAACAGAGGATTTACTTAAATATTTGTATCTATAAAAAGAATGTATAAACATAAAATGTCTTAAAATAATTGTCGGACTATGTCCATTTCATAATGTGTGACGTCATATATATATATATATATATATATATATATATATATATATATATATATATATATATGAATAAAGTATAAATAAAATCCAACAGAATATAGAATAGAATATTAATTAATATATAATAAAATATAATACAACAGAATAAATAAATAAGGAATAAATATAACCTTCATAAAATTGACATATTTTGTTCGATCAATGAAAATAAATAGTACAGAATTAGAAATTTATTTAAGCAGTATATATTCATAAAAATATGTTTCATTAAATAATATAGACATATTATGTCTATTTATTTTGGTAATAATCCTTTCTAGTTCTGTAATCAGCTTTTTGATGTTGGGATGAAATTCATCAAGGAAGACGCTGTAGTTTTTTCCTACCAATCATCTTCAGGGGTGCATTGCAAAGAAAAACTTATTGTAACTTGTGAAAATTAATAGATATATCTATATTATTTTATGAAACATGTTTAAATGAAGCTATATATTTATTTCAGTTAGTTATTTTTAATTTAAGTCTTTGTTTCTATGTAATAATTTTTTTTCTGTCCTGAACTGTTTTCCGCAATTTGCTTTCTTGAAGGTGGAAGAGATTGACCCATGGATGCTACCAGAATTCAAATCTGATTATAAGCCATGGAAAGGTAGGTGACTATATACATTATTTTCTCTTAAAACGTTTACAGTACATATAACACATGTGGGTCTTAAGGCATGTTCCATACTGTCCCTGATGCCCCTCCGTGTCTATTTCACTGTTTTATTTCAGGTAATAGAAATAATGACATCAACGTAACTACGTTCAGTGTCTGTTTTATTATTCTTGAATTTCATAATTTTACAATTCTTGAATTTCATAATTTTATTTTTCTTGAATTTCATAATTTTTTATTCTTGAATTTCATATTTTTTTATTCTTGAATTTCATAATTTTTTCTTATACAAAACAGTGACATATAAATTGATCAAATGGTTGTAATTATGACATCTGGTTGTAATGGCTTAACTTTGATTTGGCACAAGGCCGAAAGTATGGAACGTCCAGAGAAACATTTAGTTGTAATCGCTGATGCAACATACTTCAGCTAACATCTGTATGCCTCGCTTAAAATCACATTTGTTTTTGTTACTATATTCTGTAATCATTTATGAAGCTTTATTGGAGTTGGGGGGGGCACAAGCCCGCAAATATGTAGCATCAAATGAGGACTGAACTCGCTGCTAACGATTTACAAGTCATCAGAGCACGTCGTTTGAAACCTGTCAACAATAAAAATAAAACTTTAAACCTCTTTGCGTCTTTTTCCGTTTCTTTACCATTGGTCTAATGTAAAACAAAATGTCTGACACGTCAAACAGGTTTGAGGGCCTGTCCTTCGTATTCTTGGGAATTTTTTTCCAAGGAAATGTCATCAGATCAAAAGCAGGTCACAACGCTTTTACGAGTAAATAACAACACAGAAGTGCAAACATATTCTTGTACATCCGTTTCTTTCTATTTGAACATTTCCTAGGCCAGTGGTTCACAAACATTTTAGGAGATGCCGCCCTGTTATTTCCTAGGCTACATCACTCACTCCTCATCCACATATAACAAACACTACAACTTTGTTTGCATAGAGAGTCTACTGTAAATTGAAAACAACCAACCATTACAAACAAGGTAAATCTCGTACACCAATTTATTTAACAATAGGACAAGGTAAATTTACATCTCAGCTTGAACTACATTCATGACTGGCCCTGAAAGTCGCTGAACTCAACTAGAAGCCTTTTTGCAGCGTTAAAAGTTCACCGTCAAGGGGTGACATTTATTTTGCTAAATATACAAAATATGACACAAGGCTGAAAATTGGAGCTCAATGAGGCTCGCTTATCACTATCCTGTCATTATATTAACTAGTAACAGTTACTAAAAGAATTCTATATTTTTTATATTTCACCGTAACGGCATATTATAATGCTGTGTGTTCTTCGATTAGTCAATTAGCACGGGCCTTACGTCCTGTCACTACATCAGATAAATAACGGATCATTACGTTTTGATTCCAAGCCAAGATGGAAGAAAAATATATTGCAGAAATTCTGTTTGGTTTTTAATGAGAACAAAAACATGCGTAATGATAATAAGAAAGAAAGAAAGAAAGAAAGAAAGAAAGAAAGAAAAGAAAGAAAGAAGTGCTATCACTTTCATGCGTTTAACGTCTACTTCAGTCAAATGGAAAACCTGATCAATTTTGATTTCATTAATTGTACCCTCTTACTACATTAAATAATGACCTACAGTCATACTTATAATTGAAACATTTCAAGTTAAGCTAAAATATTTACCAATACACCAGGGGGAATTTCTACAGATAATTTACAGTCGTCGAATTCGCCATGAGATTATTCAATCATTAACTTAAAAATTATGATACATCAGAAAATTCAAATAGGAAAAGCGTCAAAGTTTCATAGTTACTACTAGAAAATATCAAGTCGATCACTTTATTTTCTTGAACATAACGTTTTTGGTGATCGAAATCAAAAAGTATTAGTTTATAAATAAAATTACCTGTTCGCTGATCTTGTTCCTGCTCTAAATTTCAAGGAGATTACATCCACTCATCAAGAAAATTAGATAAAAAATTGAATTTATTTTTATAAATCATATTTGTTAATTAATGTTCCTTAAAAGACGTAAATCCATTTATGACAAATTAACCTTTCGGGCTACATTACCTTTCTTTTAGGTTCTGATTTTTCGATTCTTTTTCTTATTCTTTATCGAAATACAGCGTCAACTTCGAGAATACTTCATTCTGAAAATATACTCTGTCTATCGAAGTTAATGAGATTTGATTTTAGCTTCACACGTTTGTTAGGGACGATTAAAAGCTTAATTTTTACTGAAGTTGTCCGCGAATCTGATGCCTTAATCTAAGCGTAGCTTTGACTGATGGAAGATTTGAAGACTTTCGAGATAGTATCAGTTTCACATCAATATAAGGATACAATTATTAACAAGATGGATCTCTGGAAATTCAATAGATGTTGACAACTAAGATTATACATTGATTCAAAGCTCTTCTCTTTTCTTCCGCTTTAACTGTAGCTTTTCAATATCTCACTTATCCCTTCCAGTGCAACTAATATTATCCATTATCTCATGCCTCGGCACTTTTCTCAATCTTTGCCTGTATCTTCTCATTCTATCCCTTATCACTTCCAATATAACTAATATTATCCATTATCTCATACCTTGGCTCTTCTCACACTCTTTGCCGGTATTTTCGCATTCTATGCCATATCCCTCCCAATATATGAAATATTAACCATTATCTCATGCCTCAGCTTTTCTCTGACTCTTTGCCTGTATCTTCTCATTTTCTCCCTCATCCTTTCCAATATAATTAATATTATCCATTATCTCATGACTCAGCCCTTCTCTCAATCTTTGCCTGTATCTTCTCATTCTCTTCCTTATCCCTTCCAATATAACTAATATTATCCATTGTCTCATGCCTCAGCTCTTCTCTCAATCTTTGCCTGTATCTTCTCATTCTCATCCTTATCCTTTCCAATATAACTAATATTATCCATTGTCTCATGCCTCAGCCCTTCTCTCAATCTTTGCCTGTATCTTCTCATTCTCATCCTTATCCCTTCCAATATAACTATTATCCATTGTCTCATGCCTCAGCTCTTCTCTCAATCTTTGCTTGTATCTTCTCATTCTCATCCTTATCCTTTCCAATATAACTAATATGATCCATTATCTCATGACTCAGCTCTTCTCTCAATCTTTGCCTGTATCTTCTCATTCTCTCCCTTATCCCTTCCAATATAACTAATATTATCCATTATCTCATGACTCAGCCCTTCTCTCAATATTTGCCTGTATCTTCTCATTTTCTCCCTTATCCCTTCCAATACAATTAATATGATCCATTATCTCTCAATCTTTGCCTGTATCTTCTCATTCTCTCCTTTTCCCTTTTTCCCTCCCTTGATTCAGTGTCTCCCTTGATACTGAAATGACGTGCATGTCTATTCCCGTCTTTCTTTCGTCTTTCTTCCCCTATTTTGTATTTCTTTTTCTTTTTTTTCTTTCGCTTTTGCTTTTGCTTTTCATTTTCCTCTTCTTTTCTTACCACCCAACGTCTAACCTTCTTTTTACTTCCTTTCTCGCTTTCTCTAATTCTTTCACTCTTATTTCTATTGCATAGTTTTCCCGTCAGAAAAAAAAAGAAAGAAAGATCGGACGAATGTTGCACTCTGGTTTGTCGGGTCGAAAGCGTAACATGCGTATAAACTAATAAATAGAATAATAGTCTAGAATTTATACTTGTATTTTGAAAAAAAAAATTCTTTTTCAAAATATTCAAATACCACGCCTTCAAAGAAAAAAGTTATTGAATGTAGACATACATTAAAACCATTATCAAATGTACACAATACAAATATTTCTTTCCTTATTTTTTTTTTTTTTTTGTTTGTAATCTGGGTAAAACCAGATTTTTCTTATTTTGTTCGTTTGTTTCTTTCATTGGCTCGACCATTCCTTTCACTCGTTCTTTAATTTTTCGCTTGAGTTCGCCTCCATTTTTTTCTTCGTATCTTCCACGTTCACCCTTTTTCTTGTTAATACACTCATTCACGTTTTCTATCTCGCTGCTTCAACGTCTCGTTTTACTTTCCGATGCTCGTGTTTGCCATCTCTTGCTTTTTTTTTCCTTCGTTGGCGCCCTCTGTCTTTCGTTCATTCTCTCTTTCGCTGTCACTATCTTTCTTTCACTCACCCGTTTGCAATCTTTCGTTTGCCGTCACTATCCTTCTCTATCTCGCTCTTTCGCCGTTCCGTTCTTTCTCCCTCTCACTCTTTCGCCGTCTCTATCTTTCTTTCCCTCTCTCGTTCGTCATCTCTCTTTATCGTTCCCTCCCTCGTTCGATGTCACTAGCTTCTTTTCATTCACCCGATCACCTTTCCTAACTTCCTTTCGTTTGCTGTCTGTCATACTTTCTCTCTCTCGTTCGCCATCTCTTTCTTTCTCTTGTTCGTACACCGTCTCGCTCTTTCTTTCTCTCGTTCATTCACCATCTCATTCTTTCTTTCTCTCAAATGTTACTCTTGCCACCATGATTAAATTATCAAATGTCTATTTGATACTTATTTATTTTTAAATAATTATTTTGCCCCATGATTTTTTTAATCATTTCACCCAGAGAAAGGCAATAAAACCACTAAGACGCAAGAAGTTGCTGAGTGTTATGAGAAAGAAAAACACTATTAAGGAGAGAGAACAATAAAAGAAGAGGAATTAAGAAGAGAGAAGATAAAGATTGACATCGTGTCGTATAGGAAAAAAAAGCCTCGCTGCCGACATTTAGGTTTGAACACAGATCGCCAGTGAGCAAGCACAGTCGACCTCATCTTGAAATAATTAGGTCATATGAAGGGTAAAGGAAGACTATATAGTGATTTTCGAAGGGTGGCTTATATGTGGCACAAAACCGAAAGTGGGAGGCTACCAATGAGGATAGAACTCACTTACTCAGTCGTAATTGTTCTGGCGAGACAAGCTTGCTAAACATTACACTGCTTCGATGTGCCCAAAAGTTAAAATAAATATATGGAAATTAGCGGCGTCTGACCGAGTATAGTCCGAAGGCTTGATGTAACAATATTTAGCATGACCGAACGGAAGAAATTGCATTAGTTTATACTATTGATTATTAGAGACCAAACGGAAGAAAATTATATTAGGTGATGTTCTATTCTGTTTTCAATATGAACAGAGAAAAAAAAAACTGAATTTTCCTGGGAAACTAATTTGGAATTTGGGAAAGAAATAAAGGACCGGGAAAAGGAGTGGCGTCATGAAGACGACACTATCCCATTGGCTGTGTCACGAGGGAAGAAGACGAAAAGAATGATGTCATAGAAATAATGCTATCTCATTGGCTGTGTCACGAGCGAGTGTTCGGTTCACCTCTCTGTCTACGGACGGAGAGGAACCCGAAGGAGGCTACGCCGAAGGGCGGAGTCTCCTTCGGGGAGGTAAAACCGGCCCTGAACCCGCTTAGGCGGGTTCAAATGGGCATATTTTTGGGCCGAGCCCACTGGCTCGGGTAAGCCCACAATAAACCGACCTTGTGTCACATGTTGCCCTAGTGGGAGGGAGACTAAATATAGTCACGAGGGAAGAAGACAGAAAGAAATGAAGCCGAAATTTCATTGGCTAACAAGGGTCTGAGATGAGGTTCGCGTAGACACCCCAGTGACCGTCGTCCCCATCCCAGTAAAGGATGGACAAGCATAAATACAGAGCCCCAAGTGGGTAACGAGAGTGCAGCTGCAGTTGCAGTACAGTTGAGTTGCAGTTCAGTTAGAGCCGGAGAATAGCCGAGGAGTAAGGCTTGAGGTACCAACACCGCCGCCCGCCAACCTCCGCAACAATCAGAGACAGTCTTCGTCAGTTTCTGTGAGGCTTCGGTGTGAAGAAATAACGCCAACCAAGAACTCCAACTGGAGTGAAGAAATAACGCCAACCAGAAAACTTGAAAATCACCCCTTAAAGAAATTAGTCGAGACTTCCGTTCCGTGGTCAGCTTGTTAGGAACAGGGGTTGGGAAGAAGACAATTGGTGATTGTACTCCGAATTCTTCTGTATATAAAGACTTTCTTTTCTACAACATACTCAGGCGTTGTTCTGTTTATATTTGGTGCCGTTTCATCTACCCAATTGTGCGTCCGTGTCCGGATTGGTTCGACTTGGCGGAGAGACACCTGGCGAAAACCCACGTGGCTTCCTTGAGATCAAATTCACAGCGTGGCCAAGGGAGTTCATTGTGGGTGAAGTCGACTCAGAGACCGGCTTCTAGCTACCTGCCTCGTCGCTGTCGACGAAGAATTCGTTCCGGGACGAGGGACCTTCGTGGTCTGGTTCCGGGAAGGCCGATCCAACGCCGTGGGACGGTCACAAGAATCTTTAGGATTTGCCAACCCTTTCACAGTGAATTTATAACGACCGTGTTTTCTATTATTACTCGTTGAATTGTTTTTTGATTTGCAACACTTGTTACGTTAAGTTCCCTTAATTTACTTTGTTTTACGTTCCTTTTTTCTGTCTGGTTTTTGCTAAAAGTTTTAAATTTGTCATCCTTTACCCCACTTTTACGTATCCCCTTGTTTTTTTTTCTTTTTTATTACTTTTTATTTTTCTCTTATTTTATAGTTATTTTTTTAATATATTTCCTTTCCATTTTTAATTTATCTGTATCCATCCACAAGATTTGTTATTTTCTCTTTATTTATTCTCCGATTGACTTTATTTTCTTTTTTTAAAGCATTTCACCCCAATCAAGGTGGGAGTGCCACTAGTACGCAAGGGGTTACAGAGAGTGGGACTAAAGAGGTATGATAGAGGAAAGAATGAAGAGAAGGACAATATCGATTGACATTAAATTTGAATAGTTGGAGATTATAGCTTATAGATTATAGGGAAGCAAGTAATAGGAAGGGAATTACACGGACGGGAGGTGCGAGACATGAAGCTATTGGAGTAGAAGAATCGGCTACATTTAACAGCTTCGGCAGTGAAAGGGTGGGACTGAGATGCCAGCCTAGTTGCACATTTAAATTCATGCAGTCTGGGAACCAGCGAAAGTAGCTCATCGGAGAAGTTACCGTGAAAGTAATTGTAGAAAAGACAGAGCAAGGCGACGGCCCGTCTGTGAGAGAGCAACTGTAGACAAGATGCCAGATCAGGGCCAATCACATTGCATATCTGTCTATGGATTTCGTCGAGGACCCTAAGACAAACAGATGGCAGCAATATTCCATGCAAGGGCGAATCGTTGATTTATAGATTGAAGGGCGAACTCGGACGTGAAAAACTTTCTGGCGCGACACAGGGAACCAACTTTCCTTGCGGTGGATGAAGCTATTGATTCAATGTATTTGTTCCATCTCAGGTCAGCGGACTGTGTGAGACCAAACAGTCGCAAAGAAGTACTCTCGTGCAGTGAACATCAGACTTTCTAATGAGAAGCAGGGATGTTTCCCTGTGGTGAGTAATAGAGAGCAGTTTTGTTTTTGAGGTATTAAAATTAACCAGCCAATTCCTGCCCGAGTGCACAACCGATTGGCGGTCCTTTTCGTGATAAACGGTCAGATTAGTTTTGTCAGTGATACCAGATTTGCTTTTGAGGCAAGAGTAAATAGTTGTGTCGTCTGCATAGATGCCTACTTGGGAACTGATGACATCGGGAGAGAGCAGATCATGGGATATAAGGTGCTTAACCACTTCTTCGTTGATAAAAGCTTCAAAGACTTTGCCAAAGAGTGGTAGGAAACTGATAGACGGTAGTTAGATGGGTAAGAAGAGTCTCTAGAGTTCTTAAAGACAGGTAAAACAGATGAAGTCTTCTTACAGACTGGAAAGCAAGAGTCATTGAGGCAGTAGTTATATAGTTTGGAGAGGACAGGAGCCAATTCAGGAATACATTTCTTCAGGACAATGGCTGGTATCCCGTCCCCACCGCTAGCCGTATGGGATTCTAATTTAGAGATGATACCCAATACCAACACTGGGGTTATGTGCAACTCGCTCAATAGAGCCTCAGTTCTAGACTGAAAATCAGGTGTGTGAGTCGAGCGTTGAGTTGGATGAGAATTTCCAAGCAAAACACTCAGCCTTATCAGTTGAGGACGTCAGGACCACAAATTGGTTGAACAAAAGAGGTATTGTGGGTTTGCTGTTGTTTAGTACGCTCTTACAGAGACGACAGTAATCCTTGGAGCCGAATTTGCGAGATGCAATACGTTGTTTAATTCTATCAGCAAATAATGACTTTGCTTTATTGACGACACGCTTGCACTCGTTACGGGCTGAGACAAAGAGACGTCTGTTGCGGTCTGACATGTCAGTACGATATAGGCGGAAGAAATGAATGGGCAATGGCAGCTAAGCAAGCAGCAGAGAACGAAGGGGGTAAGCGCGGTTTTGATTCCATTTTACCCGGGAGGAGACCTCAGAAGCGCATTCTTGAACGAGGAGCTTAACTTAAAGACCACATCGCAGGGGACATCGCGAAGGAAATCCCGGAACGAGTCACAGTCTGCTCGTTGATAACAGAACGATGTTCTGTTGGTAGGAGCTTCTTTGCTGGGAGTGGATTAGAAGGAGATGGTGACAGATACTACAGCATGATCAGAGTTGCCAAGAGGGCAGAGCTGCGGGTTCAATGGGCATATTTTTGGCCGAGCCCACGGGCTCGGAGATCCCACATTAAAAAGGCCTTGTGCCACATGACGCCCTCGTGGTGGTGGTGGAGGGGGTGACTGAATATCGTCAGTCAGTCGTTCACTTCTGAGCCGGCTGTTCGGTTGAACTCTCTGCCTTCGGACGGGGAGGAACCCGAACGAGGCTACGCCGAGGGGCAGAGTCTCGTTCGGGGAGGTAAACCGGCCTGAGCCCGTTTATACGGGTTCAATGGGCATAAATAACCGACCTTGTGTCACATGATGCCCCAGTGTGTGTGTGGGGGGGTGACTGAATATCGTCAGTCAGTACTTCAAGTCGAGTCATAGGCAGTCCGAAACAGAGTCGCGTTCAGACAATTACTGCAAGACATTGGAATAGTGATACTGGTCGAGACTACATTGTTCTCTCTACTAAACCTGATTGTTCATACTAACACTTCTACTTCTCTGTATATATTCCTGTTTGTAAAATATCTGTGTTATTCCATACCTGTGTTCGAGTTCTTCTTTATTGGTTCGACCTTGGACTATCAGTCGTGGTACAAGGAATAGGACCATAATAGTATGCCAGAAAGGTGAGTTATAGAGTTTTTAAGCCACTTGTTATAGTGAGCGATAAAGTCCCCGAACACGAAGCAAAGGGAGATAGCCTTGTCTATATTGTGGGAAATACTTTGGTACCCCAATGTTGAAATCTATAACCCTGACCCCTTTCAAATTGACTCCCCTTAAGAAAAACCTCTTCTTCCAAATCATTAAAAAAAACAGTCCGTCCATAACTCCCAATCCATTCCCTGTTTTGCAATTCACCCCCAAAAATGAAACCTAAAAAAGACAGAGCAGTCCTTCATCAGATTCAGCAGAGCATTGATGAAAAAAAAAGATGAAACTAAAGTCATTTTTTTAATAAGGTGGAAGATGTCTGTCATTTCCAGGCAGGCAAAGGTTTTTATCCCAACCCCGTAAAGGTAAAGAACTTAAAATACTTCTAAATATGAAAAAAATTATTAACTTGGACATTGAAAATCCCCCAAACTTTCTGAAAGCCAAATGAATATTGACGGTCGTGAGAGGTGGGCAGAGGTCGGGAAAAATATGGGCTATGCTGCAAGAAGCCAATAGCTCATTTCATGTTTATCCACCGTTAGCTTTCTTTTTTTTTTTTTGACAATGAAAATGTAAAAAAAAAAACTGAATCAATACTGTTCAGGGAGGCTCCCTCTTTTTGTTCACCCCTCCCTGTATAGATCACTGAAATTAACTTTCCCCTTGGACATTGGCGGCCTGTCAGCTGAAGGGACCATCAAGACTGAGATGGGTACTAGCTCAATGGGAGAGGCCGTCGGTGTCCTAACCCCGGCCATGTTCAATGCAGAAAAGCAACCCTAATCAGTTTCATTATGACTCTCTGGTTAGCAAGTGTGAATACCACCCGAGGACTGAGGTCAGAGTCTCGCAAGGCGAGGCTCTCTCGAAACCTTCAGCGTCTCGTGGTGAATGTTTGTTGTGTACAAGCGACCCGGTTTTCTACTTATGACTATGAGGACATTCTGTCTAGTGGGTTCTCTCTCTATTTAGCATGTATTGATGGTCGCTCGAAAGGTGTCTCTTGGCTGGAGAGCAAGTCTTTGAAGGCTGCGTGCGCTCTTGTCTTCGCAGATCCAACGGGCAGGCTTTGAGTGCTGGATGTTATCATAAAGGATAAGGCTCTTCGTTTCATTAAGGTTTATGCGCCCAACGAACATTCTGAGCGGTCTGCTTTGTTTCGGCAAATCGAGCCGTTTTTGACGATATCTCGTCGAGTAGTTTTAGCGGGGGATTGGAATGCCGTCCTTGACCCCGATATAGATCGTATAGGGCCAAATTCGAGCACTAACAACTGGGACGTGAAATCATTTCGGGACTTTATAGATATCTTTCGATCTTATCGATAAGTACCGGAATGGGCACCCTGGGGAGGTTGTATGGTTGTGGTGGCTCGGCTACTGGGGTGCGTTCTAGCTACCTCATCCGAATCTTAATTAGGAGAGTCGACGTAGGGTTAGGGTTAGTCTAAGTTTCCATTACATAGTTTACTCGAATCATAGGTTTGTCCGGGTCCGTATAAACTTAGATAAACCTAAGGTTAGGATGGCTGGCTACTGAAAATTAAACTCATCATTATTTGGCGAGCAAGATTTCCGGGACCAGCTGCTACTAATGATACAGCGGGAATAAGGGATAATTTAAAATGTTTTAAATTAGAAACCTGATTTTTAGTCGTCGGCTCAATCTAGATAGATTAGCGGCACAAACGGCTTGTGAGGAAAAAAGTAGATGAAGCAATTAAATCCCGTGGTAGTGGGGAAATAGCCTTAGCTAAGGCAGATTTGTCCTCATTGCTTATCAAGAAGGACCAAGCTCTGGTAGTTAGAGATAGGTTAAAAAGAATGTCCTCTGAGGCAACGAATATGGACTTTGTATTTTGTGCAGAGGAGTCTCGGAATGCGTCTCGGCGACATATCGGGTGCGTCACATTGTCGGATAAGCGGTCCGTGACTACAAACGCGGGCATATGTAAGACTTTTCGTGATTACTTTCAGGAACTTTTCACCAGGGAGCCCTATTCAATTCGACG